TTGAAACATTGATTATTTATCATTCTTTTTATTTCATTATATTTAAATTACATTATTTCTCATTATTATTCATTTCATTAATTTATTAATATTTATTTATTTGAAAGTACAACAAATAATCATTCTTTCTTATTTATTTTCTTTATTTATTTGTTATTATTCTTTAGATAAGGAAATCGAAGATGACTTGTCAGAAACACCACATACAACCATAAAATATTCACATGATTCGATTTCCCCAGTTATCTTCTGGTTATGACATACCTTTGGTGAGATAATATATTCAAAACTAACTTGTTATTATTTATAGTGATTATTATTTATTAAGAATAATTATTATGTATTAAGGATGCTTATTTATTAAAGAAGATGCATATATAATTTTTAGTGTTGTATGTACATTTGAATATAAGGATATTATCAAGGAATAATTTTTCTTTAAGGGGGTGTGGAAGATAAAGGAGATGAGTCATAATCATTAGATTATGGATATACTCTCGTTAAAACAACAATATAAAGAATGAGAAATATTATATTACTCATTAAAATCAAAATAAAAGTCATGCAGCAACTTAAATGAAAAATCATTTAAGTCGAGCATGTTTGAAAAAACTTTATTTGAATAGAAATAAAGCATAAATAAGAAACTGATTTGCTCACTTCTCAACATAATGAAAACATAAAGATGAGATTAATCATAATTAATCCATTATATATTTTAATGTATTTTTGAATATGACATGTGCTTGTTTCATTATTAATTTTATACAATTTATTATGTTGAAGTAATTAATAGAAATACATATTATATTTGTTTAATCAATACGCAAAATAGAATTTAAATAGTAAATAACATTAAAATATAATTCATTAATATAATATCAGTATTTCTCAGTTGAGTAGAACATAAAATACACAATGTTTATTACATTTAGAATGATTTAATAATAAAATATCATATTATCATCACATTCTTATATATTATGACTTATTAATTTCATTAATTACATTTAATCCATCATCTACTCTGAATAAACCAAAATCAAAACATCTCTATTGTGTTTTTGAAAAAATACAATCCATTGAAGTAAAGTATTGTTAAAATGTTCTAAATTAAGTTAATTCGTCTTTTGCTTTTATTGAATAATTGGTTTTCTTTTATTTTTATTTGTTTGTTGTTGTGGTGTTATTATAAACGTCATATTAACATTACATAATATTTTTACATTATTGTTTGAATATATTTCAAATGATAAAAATGAAAATATTATTATTTATAACATTACATAAAAACGATACAAAACGATTAAAAATAAATTGAATCACAATATTTTTATTTGATTTTGTAAGTTATCATGTTCTAGAATAATTAAACATCATTCTAATTTTTTCTTTACTCCCTTTCTTTATTTAAACAAAATCATATAATCGTTATTTCATTAATAAACATGGGAGATTGGTATGTCAAAGGTTCAAACCTTGAAGGAGAACACGGATTAGTTGAACAAAGAAATTGTCCACAAGGAAGACCTTTTTGCCATCAACTTATTGATGAATGTATTAGAGAAGGAAGAACTTTACATGTTCATCAACAGGATTGGCAGATAAACTCCTTCACTTATGAGAAACTCTAAACATTCTCTAATTTACTTTTATCTTTTTTATTTTATTCTTTCTTTCATAAAAATTATTAGTTTATATTGAATAACTTAACTTCTCATTCTATTATTTTATTTATTACATTTTATTTTTATTTCATTTCTCAACTTCATCACTAAACAATAAAATCAAAATAATGAAAAGATAAATTTAATATCGAATGATGTTTAACATATAATTTATAAATAAATATGTCGCATAACATAATAGGGGGTAATGTAAATTAATAAAATAATCGTTTGGGTTTATTCTTTTATTTCTATTTTAAAATAATAACGATATGAAAATAAAAATATGAATAAAGTTTCAAATGTATGTAAAATAATAAAAGGGGTATAAAATAGAAAATAGGAAAGAAGTAATAAATACGATAAATATGAATAACGTGAAATAAAAAGAAAATGATAACTTGATAATTCAGAACAAATGCTTACAAAACACTCTAATACAGAAAGAATGAAAAGAAGTGCAGAAATAGCTTATCTCAAAGAATATTATCCACAAAATTTAGTTCAATTTCATAAAATAGGTGTAAAACTTCAAAATGCACCAGAAAATGAAAATGAACTTGTTGTTGAACCTGATGTACATTTTCAAATTGATGGAAAGGAATATCTTGTTTTTTTCAATAACCATTTAAGGGAAATAAATACAGTTTTAAATCGTTGGTTAGAAAATGAAATTTCAGAACATTATATTATTATGCCAGATATCATTAAAATGTTAGTTAAACAAGTTGCAGAAAAAGGAAAAACAGATAAAGGAATAATACGACATTTAAAAGCAGCAGGTATTGGTTTAATTCCAGGATATGGACAATACCAAGCAATCAGAATGTGGACTTGTAATATCTTTCCAACTTTAGTATCTTCAGAAGTAAAAGAAGATGAAGATAGAATCTTTCGACTAGCATATCATGTTTATAAAACAAAAGAATTAATTGAAAAATATGGAAGTGAAATACAATCAGGTAAAATATGTGCTATAGGTATTGAAAAGAGTTTCATTGGGAAGAGTGAATATATGACAGTTTGTGATAATGAATTTTATCAAAAATTAGAATCAAAATTATTTGAAATAATGTCATCTTACGAAAAAAGTAAAGATGAAAAATTGAATGATTTAAATACATTTTTATATGGGTATGAAAAAATAATTCAACCAACAGTAGATGAATGGAGAAGAATGTGTTTTTGTTTTGTAATTAATAGAGTGAATTATTATCTTACAAGACAAGAAGAATTATTAAGCGACAAATCATATGAAGAATTAAAAACAATGACAAATCTTAGGAAAAGATTGAATCAGCTTGCTATTAAATACAAACATTTGTATTTAACAAATACACAAATTCTTCTTGGAATTAGAATAAGTCGATGTAAAATTCTTGTTGATAATAGAAAATGTAAAACAATATTTATTGAAAGTTCAAATGTGAGAGAATTTTATAAAAAGATTAATAAAAGGTTAGATGCAGAAGTACAGATTCTTACAAACAAATATTCATTCAGTGAAATTCCTATTGAAAAGATTATCAAAACAGCACAGAGTTTAAACCTAGATAACAATCAAGATTCAATAGATAAAAAGAAAAAAGAAATCAATGAAAAAGAAGAAGAAAGAGAAAAGTTATTGGGAAACGCAGCAACTGAAGTTGGAAAAGTAATCATAGAGAAAGTAGAATCTATAACAGATATTGCTGTTTCAATTTATAATATTGGTTCATTGATACAGCAATTTAAAATAAAAGATATAATAGATTATATGTTTACACAAAATAAAATAGAAAATACAAATGAACAACAAAAAGATGTTAAAAAAGAAAACAATAATCCACCAAAAACTGAAACTAATAGTAAAGAAAATACACATACAAATGAACAACAAAAAGATGTTAAAAAAGAGAATACTAATCCACCAAAACCTGAAACTAATAGTAAAGAAAATAAAGAAATAATTCAATCATCTAATACAAACAAACAAATTAATTCATTACCTTCACTTCCATTAAATAATACACCACTTGGAATAGCATTAAAAGCTATCAAACCTACTCCAGAACAATTAGATAAATTACATTCGTCATTTAATAATTTTGTTGATGCACAAAAAATAACATACGAAATTGAATCATTTAAAGAACAATTAAATGTATTGGAAAATGTTCAAAAATTATCAAATGATTTTATCAACTTACTCAAACTTAAAATAGTATTGCAAAGAGAGTGGTTATTTGATGAGATTGATATTAATGAATATTTAGGAATTATTGTTACAGAAGATAATAGATATGTTGTTAATCCACGAACTAATTCTGAACGTAAATCTAATCATAAAATATATGAAATAGAGAAAGTACTAAATTATAATGAAGGAGATGAAGAATATTGATCAAAACAATAATTTGATTTTATTTTAATGTTTTTAATGTTTATATTTTCTATAAATTGAAATAAATGACAATGAAATAATGAACTATAATTATAATTATTTTCACACATTTTGTATTATTTATTTTGAATATATGGTTAATTAAAATTATGTTTTATTCTTTTTTATTTCATTTCAAACAAATATAACAAATGAAATATGAAAATATTATTTCTATCATACAAATTGTCATTCAGTTAATTTTTTCATCAATTTGTTCGCTATTTCCTCCTTCATTTATTATTTATTTTATTAAACAAAAAATTATATTTCAAATTAAACCTTCTTCAATTAGAGAATTAATGTTATTATTCCAAGTATTATCATGACTAGGTTTACTGTCATTATTGGCATTCCACTTGAACAAATGCCTTTAATACATTTGTTGTTGATATAATCAAATTTATATCCTGAATCACAATAAGCTAGTACACATTTTGTACTCCACTCTCCATTATCTCCACATTCATATCCTCCATGTCCATGTTCGATATTAATTTCTTTATCACATATACTATCTCTTTTAACTAATCTTTTATTCTTTGGATTACATTTTGTTTTATACTTTTCTACTATTTTCTTTGTTTGTTCTGCAAATTCATTTATCTTATAATTTGAAAATTGATAAATATTCACTCTTTCATCAATCATATCAGTTAAAAATTCTCTAGGAATTGTTTCCTTGTATTCATAATTATATCTGTATTTTTCTCCAACACTTATTCTAAGATTATATCCATATACTTCCATCCATATATGAGGGAGTAAAGGAACAGATTCAATAACATCAGTTGGTGATAATCCTACTTCAAATTCTTCATCTTTACCATATGGATCTACATCAAATCCTACAAGAATAGCTCCTCCCCATTCTTTTAATCCTTTTGTTACACATGAACATGCTGAATAACAATATGGATCTGTATAAACTACTATTTCTGTTGGGTTTCTTGGATGTTTCATTAATTTCTTTTTTGGAAAAACTTCAATTGATGGCTGTGTAACTTTATGTTCAACATCACCATATTTAATAATATTTGGTTTTGAGTACCAATCTCCAAGTGGGAATGAATTTATTATGGGAATTATACTTGTCCATTTACTTCTTCTTTGTTGGCATGTTTTTGGATCATATAAATTTACAGCAAATCCTGTTTTTAACCTATGCTTTGTGTAGTCTGATTCTCTCAATGAAACTATATAATTAACATCATCATATGGTGATAATATCTTTTCTATCCATTGTGAATAAATACTATATCCTCCTCCATTCTTTGGGAATATGACTTGAATAGGATAATTATTAGAATCAAACAAATCAATACAATTTGAAATTGTTTCTTCATATGACTCTTTGACTTCTGTATCAAAAGAACGAACTACAATGTGTTTACACCATTCACAGAAAATGAACAATGAATATTATTATCTTTTGATGTAAATTTTCTTGTAATTCTATCATTTTCATCGAGTGCTTTCTTTGTATTGATTATATCTTTTGTTTCTTCTTCAGTTAATGGTTTTCTAATTCCTTGTTTTAGTTTTTCATTGCTATTTGATACACTTGCTGTTTCTCTATATATTTTATAATTAACATTCACACTTTCTCCATTTTCCCATGTAATACTTATTTGTGTATTTAAATATTCTTTTGTCAATGGTAAATAACTTAAAACACCTCCAACTAAATAATCTTTTGCTAATGTAAATTGTGCATGTGGACATTTTAATCTCATATATTTCTTTCCAAATTCACGAATAATATTAAATGGATCTTCTCCATTTATTGTTTTAACTGGTACATTCATATTCTTTTTTATTTCATCTGGTGGATTCACAACGCTAAATTTGAAGGAATACCTTGGAATTAAATACATTTTCTTATCATTCTCAATATTTATTGAAAATGGAAGGAAATAATAGAAAAGTGTTAATTCACTATTTTCATTGATGTTAAAATCATTTTTATTTTTTATACTAAAAGCTAAGTGAGAATCTCTTGTTGAAATAATAAGATTATTAATTTCTGAATAAAATTCATACAGACTTGTAGTTTTTGTATTTATTTTATCTAATTTTGAATCAATATCTACTTTCTCATAATAATTATTTGAAAATGATGGTTGTGGTGGATTCTTTAATATGTCTTTAAATACATATGATTCTAAATAGTATTTTAAATCATTAATAATAGCGTTATTTGCACCCTCTGTTGTTTGAATAGATTCAATACATTCAAATGCACTATCAACAGTATCTATTATGTATTCATACAGTTCAAATTCACTACATTGCTTTGATAATGAGAAAATAATAAAAATGATATACCTTTCATATTCTATGCTTAAATACTCATTTATCCTATTATTTATTATTATTTTCATTTAATTCCTCTTTCTTTTGTTTTCCTATCGCACTTATTTTTCTTTGTATTAACATTACATTTGATATAGTTTCATGTTTTTGTTCTTAATTTAAATTAAACATCATTCATTCGATAATTTCAAATATAAACTAATTTTAATCATTTTACTGGTATTTAATTTTTTATTTTATCGATTGAAAACCAAGAAATAATTATAAAATAGAATTACATATCAACAATTACCCCCACTTTTTATTTGTTTGTTGTTATTGTTAAAATTGTAAGAAATACTTTCTAAATAAATATTCAATTCTTAAATTAGAATGATAACAATAATTTTAATGTATTCAATTTTTTATCTCAATTTTGTATTTTCTTTTTCATTTTATCGTTAATGTATAAAATATATTGAACATCAGTGTTTACATTTATTTAATAAATTTATTCATCTTTTTTGTTTTATCTTTTACAACTTTCTTCTTTTTCTAACAAATTATTGTGATATAATTATTGTTTCTTGTGTGGATTATTTTGGATTATCATTTATATTAATTATATTCTTCTTCAAAATAAAATTACCATTGAATTTTTACTTTCACCTATTCTTCAAATCATTGTTAATTTGAATTATGTAATATTTTCACTATTCAATGAGTGTTATTTATCAAATGGTTAAATAATACCTTCCAATGAAATATTGTAAACCAACATTTCATTTAATTGTTGTTAAAAATAAATAAATTTATTGAATTAAACAGTTTCATTCATCTAAATTCATTCTATATGAATATTTATTTGATAAAGTATACAATAAAGAAATATGAAATGTTTGATGATAATAAAAATAATGAAAATAAACAAAATACAATGATAATGAATTAATAGAAAAAAATAAATATTCGTATTCAATTTAATAAAATAGTGAATATAAACAACTTATTTATTAATTATTATAACACAGTTTATTTAATTGTATATTCATTTGATGTTTTATATTAAAAATAATATTTAATCAAATGTACTTTCAATTTATTTTATATTCATTACTATGAATAATAGTAGTTTAGAAATATAAAATAGTGGTAAATTACTATATTTAGATAGAATGAATATCAAATGATTTACAAACACTACAAAGTCATGATAAAAATAATTAAAT